CTTTAAAGAGCCATCGTGTTGCGTAAATTTCATTTGGCTGAGAACAGGCACCCTCCTCACCTTCCTCTTTCCCTTATATAGATAATATATAAATAAATAAATAAGTGTGTATGGATATATATTTAAGTATCTAGCTACTTACCTATCTATATTTTCCGATCGACCTACATATATACTTATCTTCGTCATATAATTTTAATAGTATAATGCAAAGACATATTGTGTTGCATCAATTATTTAGCCAAACGAAAAAGACAGCAAACCTAGGAAACAGACAAATACTAACAATAATGTATGCATTACATGTAATAAAGATAATAATAATTATGAAAATAACAATAGGAACGACGACGGCGAAGACGACGATGATGATGATGATGATGATGATGATGATGATGATGATGATGATGATGATGATGATGATGATGATGATGATGATGATGATGATGATGATGATGATGATGATGATGATGATGATGAGATGATGATGATGATTGATGATGATGATGATGATGATGAGATGATGATGATGATGTGATGATGATGATGATTGATGATGATGATGATGACGATGACGATGACGATGACGATGACGATGACGATGATGATGATGATGAATGATGATGATGATGATGAGATGATGATGATGATGTGATGATGATGATGATGATGATTGATGATGATGATGATGACGATGACGATGACGATGACGATGACGATGACGATGACGATGACGATGATGATGATGATTGATGATGATGATGATTGATGATGATGATGAGATGATGATGATGATTGATGATGATGATGAATGATGATGATGATGACGATGACGATGACGATGACGATGACGATGACGATGACGATGATGATGATGATGATGATGATGATGATGATGATGATGATGATGATGATGATGATGATGATGATGATGATGATGATGATGATGATGATGATGATGACGACGACGACGATGACGATAAATGTAAAATTAGGAAATCAGGTCCATCAGAATAATAGCTCCACGAAAGGACACGATAAGCAAGGCCCTCCCTCCTTTATGCCCCAATGCAATCGACATCGTCTAACCCGATACCCATACAGTCCCGCTGCAATTACGCCAATAATAACCCACTAATTCGGCAACACGACACTCCCGCCCGCTTAAAATAAGGAGCAAGGAGCACTATGACGTCAGCAGCAAGGCATGGCTATTCCTGTCCAAGCTGATTAGCCGTTACCATGGCAACGCTAAACAGAACTCAATTTTAATATCCTATTCGCTTCCCTTCCCGTGGGTTGTGTCCCGCACGGTGGTTGAACTCCAATGGCCCACATAGGCCTACGCCAGCTGGATATGTGGAAGCCGGGCCTGAGAGCCGACCCAAGCCCTCGCCGGGCCCACACTTTCCCTCTGATAGAATGGCAGGGAAGCAAAACCCAACTAAGGCCACTATAATTTTTTTTTATTGTTTAGCGAGCAGATTTTCTGGAAGTAGGAAGTAGGAGGTAGGAAAAAAAATAAAAATAAAATTCTCTTCTGAGGCATTTTTTTTCTTTACAGGACATTTCCACTGAGGATTTATATGCGAGAAAAAAACATGAGATTTGAAAATGAAAATTCTCAAAACCTCATTTTTTCTCTTTTTTCACATTTCGGGAAATTTGAAAATGAAAATTTTCAAAACCTCATTTTTTCTCTTTTTTTCACATTTCGGGAAATTTGAAAATGAAAATTTTCAAAACCTCTATTTTATTTTTTTTCACATTTCGCGAAAATTGAATGCGGCGGGCTCGCTAAAGAATAAAAAAAAAATGCAGTGGCCTAACTGATGATTACTCTCTAGGCCTATTATTCCTCCCAGGCACACACTGTTGCGCAAGTTGCAAAAGAAACTGATCTTCTTCCTGCCATCCATGTTGAGCAAGGAACCTGTCTCCTCTCTGCCATTCATGTTGCACAAGAAACCAGTTGCCTTTCTGCCATCTATGTTGTACAGAAGCAATTTCTTCCTGTCTTCTGTCATTCAAGCTGCACAAGGGAACTCACTCCTGCATTTGTTATATGTTGTGCAAGGAACCTCTTCCCTGCATGTGTCATATGTTGCATGAGGAACCTCTTTCCTGCCTGTGTCACATGTTGCACAAGGAGCCTCTTTCCTGCATGTATCATATGTTGCATGAGGAACCTCTTTCCTGCCTGTGTCACATGTTGCACAAGGAACCTCTTTCCTGCCTGTGTCACATGTTGCACAAGGAGCCTCTTTCCTGCATGTGATATATGTTGCACAAGGAGCCTCTTTCCTGCATGTGCCATATGTTGCACAAGGAACCTCTTTCCTGCCTGTGTCACATGTTGCACAAGGAACCTCTTTCCTGCCTGTGTCACATGTTGCACAAGGAACCTCTTTCCTGCATGTGTCATATGTTGCACAAGGAGCCTCTTTCCTGCATGTGCTATATGTTGCACAAGGAACCTCTTTCCTGCCTGTGTCACATGTTGCACAAGGAATCTCTTTCCTGCATGTGTCATATGTTGCACAAGGAACCTCTTTCCTGGATGTGTCATATGTTGCACACGGAACTTTTCTTCCTCATGCCATTAATGTTGTACAAGAAATGTATGGATATATAGGTGTTTGGAAATATACTCGTACATGTGTATAATATATATGATTATGTATATACATGTAATATACATGGTAAATAATTTCAAGACATCAGCACTGATTTTTAACATGCAATTTTCTTCTTAAAAATAAAATTGCATGTTTCATTCACACCCACCTGCAACTAACTGCAATCTGTGCTGGATGGCTTATAATCATGTTAAAAAATTATACACACATAGTAATTAGCGATCACTGGCGAGCTTGTAACCCTTCCAAGCAATTAACTGTCAAGCTCTACCTTGCCAGAATATACACAGTGGATATTTGATGACCCTTGCCTGAAAGCCAAAGGAACATAGGCCACAGCAATTACTTGACTGCCTACAGTGAGACAGACAGACAGACAGACAGACAGACAGACAGGCAGGTAGGCACGCACGCACACACAGATACGCAGACACAGACACAGACACAGACACACACACACACACACACACACACACGCAAACACAGACATAGACACATAGACACACATACACACACACACACACACACACACACAAAAAAAAAAACATAATTCCCTTTATACATGACACAACTGTAAGTCAGAGGCAAATATTTCATAGGATATGCCAAATCTCTAACATATCCATCTAGGCTATGTTTGTTAAATTACATATCACTGACACAACGATAAAACAAAATGGTCTTTCACCATAGGTGCACAGTGCACCAAATGCAAACTAATCTATCATTAAACATCATTTCAAACACGCAGTTTTGAGAAATCACACACTGTCATCTTCCCACCCTCACAACAAGTTTGCTGGGATCAGTAACAATCCCTTTAAGTCTCGGACACACTCCTATACTCACAGTAACAGTGAAATGGATCCCAAAACCAGCTGGCTACAAATCCAACAAGGATTTGGGAATTGTGACGTGGAAGTCTCGTTGGTTTTGATTCACTAAGCAAATTTTACTGACATCTTACCATACACATAGTTACTGTATGATACAATCTTATTTCTAGACATTTTTTTCACACACAAAAAAATATTTTACATGAACACTTGACTCTCTGCAGCTATTAGCATGACTATGGAACTAAACAAGTATGCAAAATCATATGGACATTTTTAGACAGTCTCGTATCATTTTATTCTTTCATATGTTCTTTTCCATTGAATATATCCAACTGCCCTGTTTCCTTTTAAAAGAACTACAAAATCTCTCTAAAAAAAAAAAAAAAAAATTCAGCACTGAAATGCTTTGACATAACCCCTTCCACCTTCTCTTGAACCGAGTAAAAAATAACATCCACCGATTACGTAATTTTTTCCCCTTCTATTTCTCCATATGTTCTCTTCTTTGTCATCCAGCAACACGAGTGGTATGCAATACTGATTCGAGATGATAAGGCTTTTTTGTAATATTTCTCTCTTTGGTTTTCAACATATCCTGAGATGCTATACACAAGTAAGATTTAAAAATCTAAATGCAAAAGAACCACAACTGGATCTCAGAAGCTTTACCTGGAGCCCCCCATATAAAGTAATGAGAGGCAAGAGGCTTTGATAGGAGGGAGCAATGGGGGGAAAACACATAAAACTTAAGGTTGTGTATATATGCATATATGTCTATATGTTTATGCATATCTATATGAATATATATATATATATATATATATATATATATATATATATATATATATATATATATATATATATATATATATATATATATATATATATACATACATATATATGGTTGTGTATATATGCATAGGTATATACATATAAATGTATATATGTATACACATGTATATGTATATACATATATTTATTTGTATGTATATATGTATAATATATACATATGTATATACATATATAAACATATACATATACATATACATATACATATATATACATATATATACATATATATACATATATATATATATATATATATATATATATATATATATATATATATATATATATATATATATATGTATTTATGCAAATATATACATATATATGTATGTATGTATACAGTGATATGCCCTTTGCCCCCTGTGGATCTGTCATGGACAATAGTAACAAATGTTATCATGACAAGTATACATATATGTGTTTTGTACATTTTTACTAGATTCTACTGATGCTATGAAATCTGATCTTTACCAGCTATTTCCATTTCTCAGAGGTCGTCTTTGATCGTCCCAGATCTTTGAGCATGCAAAAATCTACTGCTAGCAAAAGTGAAATAGGGGAAATCAGATACTTTGGCTATCTCTCACCTGGCGGTCAGACTTTAACGTATGTTTCAATATTAGTACTACTGCAATGCAATTATGAGAAAAAAAAACAGGCTGTCTTAACTCACCTCTCCTGTTCTTCTTATGTATTCTTGAGTACTGCTATTCTTTTCAAACACTTTCAAAAAATGTACACTGATTTATGCACTCCTGTATGAGCCTTACTGAATGATTACGCAGCAAGGGCTTACAGATTATAATGATATTAATGAACACACTTTGTTTCACTTATATTCCGAGATCTATGAATCATTTGTGCAGCTTTTGCCAGATCACATTTCCGAGCATAATTAAAACTTTTTGTGATGTATACACCCCTTCCTCTTCTTTTCTTACAGGTAACGTCTGAAAGGAAAAATAAAACAACTATAAAAATAAAACCCAAACAAAACAGACGAACTTAAGATTATAATGCACTACCAAATTTAGAATAAAACAACGTAGATGGAAAAAAATACGCTCCTCTATAATATCCCGAGGTACACATGATACCAGCCGTGCCAAATATAGAACCATCAATAATGCCTTACAAGCTCAGGTTCTATATTGCCCTTTGTGCTGTAGTAATAGGAGAAAACTGGAAGACCCATTTTTACAGTGATCTTCAATGTTGTGCCCTTATATATATAGACCATCTAATTGTATTAGACAATAAAAAGGTTATCACTGAAGGTCTTTACTAAGAAATCCCTTCCAGACAGTAATTCTTTCAGCGGCTCATTAACTCCACGGAAAAGTTAGGTATATGAAGGTTGGTATTTATGTCTCAAGTTGCAATATATGCACTAATGAAAGGGGAGGGGGGTCAAATATGCAATCAGCTCATTTGCAATCAAAAATATAACCACACACGTGGAACAGCACATCAATTCCCACTTACAAATAAATACAATAATCCTAAAATGAACGATATCAATTCCTTAAAATCCGTATGAAATTTGCAAGGCCTATTGAAGGCACAAACGATACCACAAGAAAGTATAAATCAATAATCTCCACCAGATACCTTAATTTCTGATTCTTCACCAGCTCCCATATCCTAGAACATGATAAAGCACTTTCCCATACATACAATACTCACACACACACACACACACACACACAAAAAAAAAATATCATTAAAAATAAAGCAGGAAATGTAAACACATCATTTCATACCGTAAACAAGACCAACTGTGACACAATTACGTATCGTAATGGGCTTACCTGAATATTCTATAGTCTATATATAATATCCATCAAGAATTGTCAGTATCCTGCACACATATATCGGCTTAAGACTCCAAAATACCGATAAAGCGAGGCCACTCAACGTACATCAGCCTACTCAGGGAGGTTGCTCACAGAATCCTAAACTTCCAAAACATATTGAACGATCTTTCAACTCACCTTGCACCCTGGGGGCACTGTATACCTCAGTCACGATATTATCACTCTCTCACTTGGAGAAAATCACTCACAATCCTTGAAAACCATACTAGAATCCCAGAACGGCCAGAAATAGTGTCTATGAAACTGACACTAGACCGAGGCGTGAACAAACGCTCTAGC